CATCAACGCGCCAAATCCTATCCCTGGCATCACAGTTGCAGAATTTCTTACCCACACATGAAGGTGGCTCGGTCATTCCGCATGCGCACTTTTTACTCCCTGGTTGTCCTCCTCCCCAGTATTCCTGTCTTACCTTGTCACGTGATAACCAAAACGCTTGTGAGGATCCGCGAGGCGCGTTAAAAAGTTTAGAAGCAAAACAATGAAATTCTACATACTGACGACAATGTTTGCTTTTCTCTATCAGAGCCTTAATCTGATCCATTCCTGTTCGGGCAGTATACGTGATTTCATGGCTGTAGAGGGCGTCCAAGAGTTCCCCGTCTCCAACGGGAGTTTCCGCCATTTTATTGTGAGCTATAATCGTGTATGTTCGTGACGAGCGTGTTACGTTACAGAATGCAGTGTAAGGGTGTCCTTCTCCCTTGGAATCCAACAAACATAAAGCACTCGTCTGCAGCCCCATGAATCTGTAATGTTCACAAGTTGGCTTGTAAATCGAAATTTCGCAAATTTCACCCTCAAAATCTGTGTGATCGCAATTACAATAAAACTGCTTCCAATCTTGCGAGCATTGCCCGCCATTTTTACAAGGATTAGGCTCACAGTAGTTTTCCAAATGACAAGATTTCATCACCACACTCTGAACGTACTTCTTTCTTCGTATGCCGCTCAATGGAATTTGACGATCCTGTATTATCAAATCCAATATACACCCAACAAAGCCCGATATATTCGATTTCATTTTCCTTTCTTTCCCAAGAGAAATCTTTGGTCGGAGCTTGTTTCTGGAATTTCTAATCGATAAAAGAGAGTTATTAACCTCTTTCGTCGTGACCTGTCCGTCAAGTTGTAAAGCAATTTCCGAGCCTGCGATACGCACTGACAGTTGATGCCATTCACCATCATTAAGGTTAGTGCCCAGTCTCAGCCCTGATTTGAATCCACTAACGTCAACGACTTTCAAGACCAGAACGCCGTTCGAGAGAAAAAGGTAAGACTTCACTCTGGGTGAAATAACCGAAATGAAGTAACCCTCTTTAAAATAGGTACGGAACTGAAAACTTGTCGTAAAGAAACAGTCACCCATTGCTCTGTAAGGTATCCGCACGCTCAAATTAGGACTGATGCTTGAAAAAATGCGATGAGCTGCAGATTTACACTGGAATGAAATTTTTTTATGGATTTCAAAACCATGTAGTCCCATTAAAGCACCAGCCAGAATATTTACGTTGCCGTACTTTACATCTCTAAGACATCCACGGAAATTTTTAGACCCTGTAACGCGTAGGGAGTGGTAACTTTGCTCCGTCATTCCACCGACGTAAATGACGTCATTCATGTCGAGCTTTTCATACTCTCCCTGGTGTATGCGGAATGCAGTGATCTTGTCGACACAGAGGGCAAATTTTCGTCCGTGTCTAATGAGTGTCACATTGTGCCATTTGTCATCATTCAGGTCTTTATTTGGGGACAAGATTGTGAAGAGGCCATTTTGGTAGCTACCATGAAAGTAGGAGGAATAGCTGGAAAGTAAAAGGAAGGTTTAAGGATTGTGTATTTTCCGTACTTTAATCTGCAGACAAATTCAAATTTAGAATAAAATGTTCTTATGACCTGTCGATTGAGTATCTGGTGTAGGTTTGTAAGTAACTTATTTATAGTGAGCCTTTCCGCCCTTCGTTTGTCTGGGTGGGTATGTGTGGGTGGGAGTGGTTGTGCGTGTGAGGGGGAAGGGGGTGAACAGAGGGAAAGATTGCACTCCCTTTTATAAGGTAGGGTATGTAGCATATGTAGGGAAAAGTGGAAATTGTGAATTTCATGCAAGAGTGTGGTATGCTAGGGTACTTTGAAACGACGCCGAGTTCTTATTTGAAACGCTCTGGAAGTGGTGAGATGTTCGAAAAGACTTCCCAAGAGTAGTGAGTCGTGAATATAGTTAGGATCTTTTAGGGTTATTGGACAGAAGTGGATTTGCATCATGTATTTAAACATGGAATTTCTTTGGGTTAACGGTTTGAGAATTCCAACAGAACGCGTACACCCAGAAATTTACAAGGTTGCTTGCTTCATTGGACGTTGCTGAATCAATGCTACAAGTTCATGCTAATGATACTCTGGGAGTCAGTCTTTTCAAACCAATTGTGACATGTGTTACGAGTGTCAATGTAGAGCAGGGTTGTTCCTAGACAAAACTCAGGATCGTCGGTATCAGCAACAAACTGATTTATTTCCAGATAGTTAACTTCTCGACTTTACAGCACTGAGCTTCTTCACACTTCTCTGTCTCGGACAAAACTATCGCTCTTATATACATAAAGTCCAAGGATCTAGAAACTTCTCGAAAGAACTAAATTAAGAAGATTAACACGATTTCTGAGTAATTACAGAGGAAATAGAACGTTCTAGAATGTTCTAATACAAGAAGGTTACGGCTGGATGACTTCGGGTCCTAGACTGTTCTGTAGAATGTTCTAGGACTTAACTTAGACAATTTTTCGTAATAACGTGATATAGTTATATTCCCCAATAAACTTTGAACTCCTGGAACACTAGTTTATGCTTAAAAAATGATAAAGATATGCCAATAAACACATCACATATGCATGTTCATTTTAATAAATCTTTTCTTGCTGATCCTTATTTTTATTTGCGGTTTTGGATCTGGTTATCTACAGCAAGATTTCCTGATGTAAGGGGTAAATCTTTCTTTCTGTCATGAATTTTAATGTGAAAAATATTGCTATCCCTCGTGTGGTGAGATACTAATGTTTAGACTTCTCTTACAATAAGAAGACATTTGTACCTCTTATTTTCTGATATTTTCAAATACCTGAAGTGCCAATTGCAAATAATTCATACGATGTTTAGAAGAATTTTCAGAAGGGATCATAGAAATGACCTCATTGCTCCCTAGGTTCCTGCTCGTTTATTTCAAGTTAGTTTATGTTGAGAAGCGATCGAGATTTTCGCCGCTCAAACGTACCAAGCTTTATATTGATTTAAACTCAAGAATACAGGACACCAAATGTCCAACAGTTTCTGAATATTTCTAAAATAAAAAATTAATAAGTCTGGCACCAAGAAAATAAATTAGCTTATTATTTGAGCCTCTGTGAGGTACGGAATCATTTCGAGAATTATCTTATCTCCGATCCTCAGCCTATTGCGTGAATAGAGTTTTCTGAAACAATGCGCAGTAAAAGAAAACAATTCGTTTCTTTCAGGTAAATTATTAAACCATTATTTCATTTTTATATTTCACTGAAAGTCTAAGAAGATTTAACGAGTTCTCCGGTCCAGTTTCAAAAGTTAAATGAAAGTTTTTGGGATCAGTGTTAAACGTCGTTGTGATCGGCGATGAAAATTAAGTACGTACTGCTTCGGTCGATCGGCAAATTTCATCATCTTTTAAGCCTTACACGAAGACACACTGGAGAGTTGATACCGACCACGCTTCAACTAATCCGACTCATCAGCGATCATAAGCTTTAGTTCAAATACATACAAAAGAGGTAACATGCGTAAATTTTACTTTGACTTTGAACGTAGTCATGAAAGCTCAAAGAATTCAAGCTTGTAACTTAAAAGCCACGAAGCATCAGGTATACGGGGGGCCCAGCAACAAATGCCACAAAGGATCAGGTACACAGGGCGGCCAGTAACGCACCCTTGGATTATGCAAGTCTGCTGGCAGGTTCAGTTTCAGAAAACGACTTTTAATCAAAAAGTCGAGGCTGGAATTTATTTCTTCCTGATTTCGAGAAGCTTAAACTTGACCTAAATTGCCAAGATAAATTTCTAGCTTTGCAAAATGAAAATCAGGTGAAACAGACGAAAATTGCCTCTGTTTGCAATATTTAAGAATGTAATCTAGAACGTTTCATTAGAAAACGGCTCGAAAATACACAATTTTTTTATGTAGGAGAAAACGGACGATACAAAACAAATTCATCGTCTGTACATCTACATTGCAGAGACAAATTAGAATCACTTGATGAAATGCGTTCTCAATTTAAAACTGACGAGGATTACTTTACTTGCTCAGAATCTTTTTCTTCCCTGGTCCAAAGGTTAAAACACAATTTTTTTTCTCACCTTACTCTTCCCTGGACGATCTCCAGTCTGAAATATTGGCCACTGGCTCCTTTGCTGTACATAAGAAGCCCATTTGGGTGTATGGTGCGGAATCTTAGATGTAAAATCAGCTGCCCGGGATGGATCTCTATCGATTCAGTCGATTTCAAATCCAGAGATATATATGCATTGCCGTTTAGAGCAATAGGAGCGCCAGGAATATTTTTTACCACAAAAAGTACGAGAAATATTACAGCTTTCATGGTAACCGGGTTTATGGGCCAAATAATTTACTAGTCCATGATAAAACAAATGGTCGTTTTATAAGAAAAACTAGAATAAAATGTATTTGCATATATATTGCGTAGAGCGGTTATGGCAAAAAGCTAGGACGCCAGTCAACCGCAATATCAAATAATTAAATTGAAACTTATCCTTAATGAAAAATGTGTTATTTTGAAGGTTCGCGGAACTTGATATATTACCAGTCCATGTTTTGAGGGTTTTTTTTTTTAAAGAAAAGAAGGACAGGCCTCTGCGGGTTTTAAACCCAACAGTGTAACAGAATCCATCGGTGTGTTTGTTAGTTCTTTAATGTTACAAATCTATCACTTTGAGTTTCAGTTCATGACATCGCTTAAAAAAAAAATTGACTGTGAAAAGTGAGGAAAAGAATATCGTCTCTGTTCGCTATACTTTGGACGCGTTTTGTCTTTCATTCACATAAATTGTTAACAGTGATTTAAATTTTTATTTCAACTTTTCACTTTCCTCGTCAATTTTTGTTCTATTAGATTATATACCTCCCTTATCAACGGCTTATGCCCAGTGCACTGTGCTCGGGATGCAAACGAAACCACGCTCGAAACCAACTCCTTTTCAAGTCGTGAATGCGGTTACACAATGGAAGACTCATCGCTGTCTGCTACATTGAAACCTGCTGATTTTATATTGAGTTTAGATTAAAGTTAGGTCGGTAAGCGCATTTACGTTCTGCGCATGCGTTGTACGCGATGAAAGAAGAATATCCGCACATAGTTGGCCTTGTAGTTGTGCGAAAAGGAGTTCTGCGTGTTGTTCGATTCTGGGGTACTGTTTGATGCTGTTGCTGTTGGTTACTCCCTCAACTTTCGGTCTCTGAAAACCAAATAAACACCGATGACCCTCCCGTGGAATTCTAGTCAGCAAACACTTTGTCGAACAAGTACAAACACTTGTCCGTTGCGTGAACTGTTCCCGAAGGATCATTCAAGGTACGGCCCCCAGGATTGTGCGACATCTGTCAGCACACCATGAGAGCAGAGAATTTCAAGAGACAATTGCATGCTTTGTTTGATCGAAATTTCTTTACTTGGCTAAAGCTTCTACTTCCTTCGAAAATTAAAATTACAACTTTTTAACATGAATATTCAACTATGGGCTCGTTCGTCGTTCGGAGTTGAGAAGAGAATTGGACTCTGAAATATCAAGCACTTAATTAACGGCTAACCTCATTGAAACTACTAATTTACTAATTTTCAGATAAACATGAAAATAGCTCTTTTATTAATCTTAAAAAATTCGATTTGACCTATCATTTGTTAATGAAACAAATAAAGTTTGGTTTTACAACATTCTTTAGGTGTCACGTATCACTTCTTTCGTTGTCATCGAGAAATTCTTTAGCTTAATTTTGCTAATGGACGTATGGAAAGAAAGCCTGGATATCGATAATCACGCGGTTCTTGCTTTATATGAGGGTCCATATTCGACCGGCTTATCCAATCCTGCATTCCGCCGCTATTTTTCAATGCATCCCGCCATCCCGCCGCAATGAACAGTTTCATCCCGATCCTGCTGGGTTAAACGCAGGTTGCTCTACTTCACCGCCTTATTTAAACTGATGGACAAATTAAAGCCTTTACATGATTATGGAGAAAGGCAAAGACTTGCTTATGGCATATTTG